AAGGGGGTGGAGGGGGGGGGGGGGTTCAATGATAAACGTTACCCTCAAAACTGAAAAATTCGGTGAAGTCCTGTCTGCCTGATTTACCAAGGGTGAGTAGGGCCTTCGATGTCTTCAAGAAATTTTTTTTATTTTCTTCCTCGCCCCACTCTCTCGGGCCATAAATTGGATTGATTTTTGGGGGGAGTAAATAAGAAAATGCGATTTTTGGGTAACCATTTGCAGTACCAAGCAGCGATTGCACCCTGCACGTGTCGGACAGTCTATCGAGAAATACGAGAACGCGTGACGTCAGCGGGTTTAAGATAAGAGGGGTTGACACGGGACAGGGTGTAAAATTGAACAGGATTTTCTACGTCGTGAAAGACTAAACCGACTACTGTGTATAAGGTGGCTGGAATAATTATTACGTAACGGACTATACCTATATGACCTATGACCTCATACCTGGAGCACAGGTCGCGTTCCAGTACCCTTGACTTTTGGTATGATTAATTGAAGCAGCAACACCCCTTTTCACTGAACCCTTTTAACGACGACTTGAACAACCATGCTGTTAACCCAAACGCATTTAGCCAGCCGCCACCCCTCAACCACCCCATCGACTCCCTTTACATAATATTTTAGGGTTTCTAAAATAGGGTTGACCACCGTAGACATTTTTAATGACTGGGAAACATCCGTTAAGACCGTTGCGAGAGAAATTGAAAAAAATATCCTTCATGAAATCTCATGGCGAAATAACAGCGTTAAAAATTTTGGTGCCAGATTTAAATCGATCTACATAAAGTTTGAATATGGCAAAAAAGCGGTAGGTCTGTGCCGAGAAATATTCTATGTAAATAGCTGTCTAATAATATTTGTATTACATGTTGAAATGGCGAAGAATAAATTGATTAGTATAAACAACCCTCGTAAAGATGCGTCTGCATATATTTTATCTAACTAGACAGATATGAATGTATACTTACGAGGTTAGGTATGCTTGTCAGGACGACTTGTCAGATTTAATCCCAGTCTCGATGGAGGTCGGATTATATTAAAGGTTATCACGTAATTAACCCTTTCGACGAGGTGCACGCGTGTCTGCACTTCGTTAAGGGCAACACTCGACTATTCGTGTACAGTGTAGATACGACGGTATGCATTTACTGAGGGAACGTGCAACGCTCGTTGAGCAACAAGCGTCCTCGACAACAGACGTTACAACGGGAGATGAGAAATTAACCGTAAATCCACGATTAAATAGAACATTTCGACTTGGCTGCAATAGCAGTGTACTTATTTAATGATTAACCAAAGACACAAAGTTAATTGTACATTGAAATACGGATACGCCGAGAACGCGTGGCTTGGATTAAGTAGAAAGTTTTGCCACCGGTGGCGCCACTTGCATAGCAACGAGTCACGTGACAGATTTTGTTGAAATGCATAGCAACGGGTCTTTGGATTACATTGAGTTTACAACTAATTTACGAAGAATAATAGAAAATACGATTGACGTCTCGAGAAGTTTTCTAGCTATCGAAATAGTGAATGAATGAGGGAAAAGCAATTGCATGGAATCCAACGACACGGCACAGCCATATTATGGTTAGAGGTACGACTATACTGTTTACTATAAGATAAGCAGACGAATCAATGCTTATGAACTGTTTTGTAATACAGGAATAAGTAAGTCAATAAATACTAATGGTTGCTGGGAGAAGACGAATGTCAGGTGACGTAACAGAATTCCTTTGTTTCTCATCCCCAACGCATTCCGCAGACTCACTGGGACACGACAGCTCTCACAGTTTGTATAAAAACACGCCACTTCTTCGTCAAATCTCCATAACAAGGAGACTCGACTATTATTTATCATTTTCCACTTTCATGAAACTCCGCAAAATCTTGGCTATAAAGATCGAGCATGAGTTCTGGAAAAACAGATGAGGATCGGCACGTGTCACGAGTCTATATACATATATATATGTAGTATACCGTTTAAAAGAAGCGTCTAAGTGATTAAATAACGAGCGATCGATCATAATCGGGCAATTTCGTAGAAGCCAATGATACCAGCGTCCTGGTCCCAGTTCCCACGAGATTTAGAGACAGAGAGAGAGAGAGAGGATAGTACGCAGGTCAATTTCTTCGTGTCAATTCGATTCAGACGATACGAGAGGTGCCACGAAAGGGAGACAAAATGGCGGCAAGAAGTTTTACAAGATTAACCAAGGGGTCAACTAAGATATGTAATTAACTGAAAGAAAACGGAGATACGTGGCTGTAGCAGGACCACGATTACGGTATAAATATTGTACATCTAGTAGCAACGTTCAAAAATTCAATTACGAATCAAAAGGAGACAAGTTTCCGAGTTAATAATTCTTTCAGGCTCAAGAGCGGCCATGTTGCTAAAACTTATTAGCCCCTTCTCATCTACCGCCTCCCCACTCACTTACCCGGGTTCCTCTCTTGGACCAAAGTCTCCTTCCTGATAAAAGGACAAAAATGAAATGGCAGCCTGGAGGATGGATCGATACTCCTGACACAATAATATCCTCCCCCCCTCTCTCTATGTCGAATGATGCTGACCGTTTCTCGTTTTCTCCCTTTCTTTTTTCTTTCGATACTTTTGCTTGCTCAATACCAACGTAACCATTTCTTGGATCCAATAGCTTCCCGTCCACGTGACGCGTCGGTCGCCTTGATTGCAGAACTTCGGGGCACGTGTATTAACCAGCTGCTTTCACGAGGGGTCAGAGGTCACGCTGGAAGTGTCGAAGGGGAGGAAGTCGGATAAGAGATATAATGGCCACGAACAAATATATATATATTAAAAGTATTAAGAGAACTCACCCGGGGAATCGATTAGCTGATATCAGAATGACCTCCTACCTTTATCCAAGTACCGCCTATACTACCTTCAACCTTACTACCCATCCGACCGCGAAGATTCCCTTCTGATCAAATAATTCCAGGTAATTAGAATCTCTGCGGTTCGATATCGTCGACGACCTCCGAATCTTTATGTAGCAATCGGATCCGACAGCGAGATAAATCCTTTACGGTCCAGTGCTTTTCGTATAGTCTATCGAACGTCTACATGTGCTATATGATATGAAAAAGGTATCTAAAATATATATAACGTATATAAAAGAAAGTCAAAAATTGAAGATACACTTATTCCAGATAACTCTTCGATTCAAAAATTCTCCAAAGCTATTTATTCCTCGAGTAAGATCGTCGTAGAATTCAATTTTCACCAATAAGTTGAAACGAGGCAATTTTTAACTTTTTCAAAATCCAACTCATTCTCGGCGAATCCCATTGGTACCTTTGGGTACCTTAGATCCACAGTGAGGTTTCCTAGCTATTCTTTTCGTTACCCCTCACAACCTAATCTCTCCAATCTTCAATTATTACAAACGGTAATCACTTCTCGTATTTTGAAGGAAAAATTAAAAAAAAAAAAAAAAATATTAAATTTTTTCCCAATCATTTTCTCCAGAAAATCCAACAAAACGTAACGTCCCGCTCCGGTTAACGCATCCGATGGTGCGATGATCGTTAAGTACAATTAGAGGTGTATACGGATTCCATTTACGCCGTTGTAAACGAGCTTAACGAGTTTACGTAACTGGGACACCGAGTTACGTTACGTAACACGTATATACATAAAGCATAAGGACAAACTTGAAATTCAGGTATACGTACAACAGTCTGTTGCCAGTTAGAGAAATACATACACACGAATCCGGTATGAGAATAATAATAATAATGCTCTACCCCAAAGATCCAAGGGTGAAAATTGAATTACACGATAAACAACCGATAACGATCGATAATATATAAAAATGACCGAAGAACCCCAAAGCCTAAAAACGTATCTACCAATGTGTATAATAAGGCGATCGCGATCAGATTTGCGATAAAGTCGTTTAATATTTTCTGTTTAAATCCCTTATCTTGTTTTAATCTTTTTTCATTCCATTTTTACCGATCACAGCCCCACCTCTCATCTTCGACTACCTAAAGGCGGGTCTTACGATGCCAGGAAGATTGCGTCAATCAAGGCGTCGTAAGATCGACGCGATCGGCAGGACATAATGGCGTCGGGATTCCCTTGACATTTCCATCGCGGACGATCGGCGTCGATCGCTACTGCATTCAATTTGGATTAATCGTCAATTAAATTCAATCGTAGCCAATAACAGTTAGTTCATCTTGACTCCATTGTTATCGATCTGGCCGAGATTTCAGCGACGTAGTTCGACCGTGATTCCATATAGGAAAATACCATAGCGGGGACCGAAGATAAATCGAACACAGAACGATATGGTGATCGTCACAATTACGATTATGGACGATGATAATAATAGCAACCAATAAAAATTTTTTCAATTTTGAAAAATTTTTTTTCAAATTTTTCATTACTCACCGATATTCGGATGCTGCAGTTTCCTACATATCCGCGCCTCACGTTCCAGCTTTTGAAAGTCTGTAAAGACAAAAAAATTTGTCAGCACAATTTTTTTCCTCAAAATTCAACGAAACACCAAAATTTCGATAAATTTTTTGGTATACAATTTTATGAAAAAAAAAATTTTTACACTCATTTTTTTTTCCAGACCACTCTCCATCGGATCTCACAGTGAGACGGTTTCGTCTTTATATACCGGGTGACCTGGTATATCTGTAGCATCGGCAGGAAGTGGCGTCAAAGGAAGTTTTTCAAAGCCAGCACTTTAAGTATCGACGGAAGAGCAAGTAGTCACCGATGGTACGTAGTCAGGCGTTAGCGCGTACCGGATATGGATATCAAACGGAAGAGACAGGAACAAATACTTGGTATCAGAAAGGCTTTCCGCTTGCTCGACTAATTAATCTCTAGTCGGACTGTACATATGTGATTACACTCCGTATGCAACATAGGGAATGGACGAATTTCGTTTAATTTCGACCTAATGAAAATCTCCAAAGGGCAGCAACTCTGGGAAACACGGATTAGCCCGGGTTTCTTCCAGTAGACCGAATCCCACTGGGTTCGCTGAAAGTATAACGTGAAATTACACGAACCTGCTATTTCTTGAAACGGCAGAGTACAGACCTTCAGGAAGAATGAAGATGAACCCTGAACCAGTGTATAGGGTGTCACCATAATAAATTCGCCATTTCTCGAAATCATCGTGACAAAATGAAAACGAGCATAAAACTTTAATAACAAGGCTGATCCGTATAACCACGTGACTTTCTTACAGTACCAAGAGACGCTACCGTAAGGTCGTACAAAATTGAACGGACGAAAGATTCAACCCACCGGAAGTTCCCTTTGGTCTCAGATCTGCTCGAAATCTCTGGCCTTTTCGGTAAAACGTACGTAGGACGGAAGCAGGTCGATATACAAAACTCCGTACAGACGGGGAGGTAAGCTGAGGTTTTTTCACTCGTATGCAGATTTACGGCGGGAAATTCAAAGCTGCTAAAGTCCTAGCTGAATTACCGACTGAGCTTTCGTGATCTCCTCTTTACCGATTCCGAAGAGACGGGTCGAGTTAGATGAGTAGATACAGCACGTGTATACCGTATACAGATGCACGTGGCTGTAGTAATATATATATATATTTTTTAATCTAATCAAAGCTAATGACGTAATCCCAGTAAGAACTTCCCAAAGCAATATACCCGTAGAAAAAGTAATATGGCACAGTAGCAATATAACGCTATTGCCAAGTATCCCCACTGAAGTAGATACTGTGTAGGCTAAGCAGTCCGACAGGCAAAAACAACCCTTAAGCAATTGCCTGTAGGCATAGAGCCCACCGTAATTTCACGGGTAAAAGAAATTGCGAAGTGAATGAAAAAAATCAAATAAAAAAAAAAGGGTTTTTTAGCAACCTCATTTTTCCTCCACCCAGCCACGTCACAATTTCTGGTCGCTTCGAGAAGCGTCCAATCCTTTTGACGCATATCCAAAGGGGCCGACGGCTACCGACGGGCCTTGAGGAAATTTATACAGGGTTGTAAGGAATATCGTGTAATTTTATTTTTCTCCACCCTCTCGCCCGGTCACGTTGATTCAACGGCAGTTCAAGAGGGGTTGAGATACGTTCGTTAACCCTTTCGCTACGGGCGGGTTCTCCGTCGCGGTACCTCGAGACTGTTTGTCGAGGCATATAGATTGCTGAGCATTGAGTTATTTCGGCTGTCAGAAACAAATGATGCAAAATAAAATACTATGCAATACATGTCCAGAGTGAGATACTTTTGCAGAACGGCTAGTCGTAATATCTCAGTGCGTCTTATGGAGGGCTACTATAGTGGCCCGTAGTACCTCATAGTAGTGAAAGGGTTAAGTAAAAAAAAAATTTTTTTAAATAAAAAGATACCAAAATCAAGATACACGTGACAAAGAAAAACTAATTTTTCTTTCCCCTCTATCTCATCTATATACTTTGTATTCTTTTTTTAACCTAACTATGTTTTTTCCTTATTTTATTCATGCTCCCCCCCCCCCC